TAGGTACAAATGGTCATGTGATTGGAATAATGCCGGCAAGCCAAAGATGCCGGAAATAAATTCAATTAAAGGACTTTAAGTCCGCAGAGTACATTGTGAGTAATTAGAGTTGCATAATTTGAGCCGAGTGATTTGGGCTGAGTAATTTGAACTGAAACGATAATATGCTTCCGGAAAAATTAGCAAGTGAGATTGCGCCGGGTATCATCGTAACAGTAGAATGAGTGAAAAGCAGAATCAGTCGGTGGTTTCCCGCCTGCTCGAAGCAGGCCGGCTGTTAAATAAGAAAATGGCAGAATCATGAGAATACAATGTGTGGTGGGAAGGGTTGGGTCGAGAAAAAAGAGACGGTTGTAATGCTTGGTTTGTTTTAAATACTGATTGTGATTGGTGGCTTTCGGTTACGTCACTTTATTCGCATGAAACTTTGAAGTCTGATGTCTCTTTCGATCCCCGACCCACATTATCAGGCAGGGTTGTAGCATTGGCGTGTAACCCTGACCATTCTCCCTGTCTTTTCGATCTGTTGACTCTTGTCAACCTGCATTAACAACTTTACGCAAAAAAAAAATAGTCACTAGGGCTAGAAATCCTTTAATTAGGAAGTGCGATAGATGTAAGAGATCAAAGTTTCATAATTGAACGGAAATAAGCAGTGTTGAGAATTCGTTGTGCATTGTTTTTTATAGTATGCATAAAAAAGAAAATAACATTCCTGTATAAAAAAATTTTTTTTGCACAGCATATTTGTGCCGAATTTTCAACACTGGAAATGAAGTTATAGACATTGTTTACTAAACTAAATAAACAAAGCCTTTTTATAGAATTTATTCCATATGAGAAATTTAGCAATATTACTTAAAGGTGGATTTAGTAAAATATATAAGGTGACATGTTTTAATGGTATAAAACGTTATTGGAATAGTTGTTCTTAAAAATCTTAACGATTCTGAAAGTATAAATCTTGATTTTTTAAATGAGGTTTACATTTACACAAATTAGCCAGACCATCACATTTTGGATATAAAAAAGTGTAGAAAAATTGACAATTATAGAGGGCAAATTTATTATATTTAATAGTTTATTTTTAAAAACAGACTTATAAAAAAAAGTGCCTATAGAGAGTTTTGACTGTATAACGATAACTTATTACAGTATTACCGTAAATTCTCAAAAATAGCGGGCATGGGCGTTATTTTGAGTTTTGGCCCGAATTAAGCTTAATTTAGGCCAAATTTCGTAAATTTACCCTGGGCGTTATTTCGGGAATTTACATTAAATTTCATCAGTTAACTTATTTCATTTATTTTTAGTTAACAATGTTTTGATCGTTGGAGTAAATCTTTTATACACCGGTATTATGGACTTTGCACAAAATGGTGACTTATATAATTATATTTTCTTACTTTAACCTGGAAAAGGAGAATATAGGATCGGGACTCTAACATTCATAGTAAGCAAATCATTCATCGAGATCTCATGGCGGTAATATACTTGTACATGATAACTATTATATAATGTTAGAATTGGAGAGGATCTTCTATAGTATAGATGGGCAATATAAAAATATTATAAGATTATAATATAAAAAAAACTTTAACCCTAACCCTAACCTAACCTTAATTTAAACTATAACCTTCGCCCTAACCCTAACTATTTATAAATTTGCTTGGATTAGTTCAAATAGTTATTTTTATATATTATAATCTTTTAATATTTCTATATTGCCCACCTATACTATAGATCAACCCGCAGGGAGAAACTCCAGAAAGGCCTTTTCTGGGAAATTAAGGCGATTAGGACGAATTTGGCCTTATACTGTTATAGAGGGTATCAACAATAAGGCTGTTCTGGGCAAAAAGGTTTAAATAGGCATTATAGACAATTCACCTAGTATAGACAGTTCATGTAGCGAAAATAATATCTATTTTTCTTGGATATCTATTAATATTGGCATGAATAAATGACATATTTTTATACCGTATTTTCACGTAATAACGCTAACCTGCGTGTTATTTTGAGTATATGCGCGGAGCATTATTTTGAGACAATTAAAAAATTTGAAACAAAAATACTAGATACAGTAGTACTACGGTACTAAGTAAACCTTCCTTCGAGCTTTAACAAAAGTTGTTCTGAAAAACAACTTTTGAAGTTCGAAGGCTTACTTAGTACTAAATCCAGTTCCGAAGTATTTTAAATCTTACTATAAATAAACATCCCTTACTATGGGGTGCGAGCTATTTTGGGACGCGCATGAGCGTTATATTGAATCTATATACATTATTTTTAGGACGATTTTCGAAATAACGCCCATGAGCGTTATTACGCGAAAATACGGTACATAACATTTATTTACTATATGCATTAATACGTAATAATAATAAATACATACAGTAAGACCTCTATAAGTGCACCCCCTCAGGACCATAGTAAAAAAAAAGCAAAATGTGCACTTAAAGAGGGTGTGCATTTAAAGAGAATAGTGCTCTTATAAGTTGGGCTAAGCTATGCCATGCATTTAGAGAGAATTTACATAGGGCGTGCGCTTATAGAGTGTGCACTTATAGTATTCTGATTGCGGCTAGGTTTTTTAATAATAATTCCTATAGTAAAAATTCGTTAAGATTGACAAAAATTTTCTATTTAGCTTATTTGTTATAAAAAGTTCATTACATCTAGAATCGACTATATTCAACGGATGTAGTCGGATAACTTACTAGCGGATATCCGAAATTCGCAAATAGACTAAATGGATAGTTGTTATCCACCGGATCCAAGCTATAATTGAGCTTATAGCTAACTTCGAATAAATTTTCGAATTCAAATACATCACCTTTATTTAGAAACTATATATAAATTTTTTCAATCGTTACAGCTGTTTTCATTATCTGGTAAAAAATTGACCGAATGATTATTTGGCCGATTCGATAAACTTTTGATTTGGCCATGATTAGTAATTTATTCTGAACGATACTACAATGTCAACACATCCAAAATTAATTTTCGCTTGAATGTATGTCCAGCATGTTTGGTATGTTTAGTCTGTACGAAAATTTATGACGAAGATTATTTTTGCCAAGCAACAGATTTGACAAAAAACAAAAAGGGTTCCAAATATAAGCTTTAATAATAAATATATTACACAAGGAGACGCTAATAAAAAAAAAGTTCGATATGAACAAGAATTTATTGACCGGACTAAAGATAATATAACAAGTTATAATTCCAAACAACCAAATTTTTATTAATATTTGTCGAAACTGCATTTAAAATTATAAACAAAAAATCTATAAAAGTATTTCATTTATTTATTTTATGTAATATAAATAATTTATAATGAAATTTTAAAATATAGACCAAAAGCAAATCAGATGAAAATATTGAAACGGTTAATCTAACAACTAAGGAATCTCTAGCTTGTTCGTCTATAATAATTGCTTGTCTGAAGTAATAGCAACTGAATCTAGTATAATCTGAAACGCAAAAATAGTGATATCGATATACATTATCTTTGTCATTAGAAAGATATATGCATTGTGCAATCGCTCATTACCGAAGTCAAAACTTATCGAATCAGCCAAACAATCACTCGGTCAATTTTTTACATGATGTCCCAAAATTAATGAAGCAACTGTAAATAAAAATAAAGTCAATGGGCAATATTGTAGAATGGCACTATGACGGTTTACGGCTTTACGAAATTCATTATGCCATATACCGTGGATGCAACAACTATAGATCTGCTGCTATGCAAGTGCAGTTGCAGAATTCAATCCATTCGGACATTTGATGTTAAGGATTATACTTTTATTTCGTTAAATACCGCATAATAACGCCCAGGGTGTATAATTTTGAATTTCGGCCTAAATTAAGCTTAATTCAGGCCATTGTTCAAAATAACGCCAATGGGCATTATTATGTACAAATATGGTATGTCAGGAACAGGAAAATGCCCTTCTGACCGAAGAACAAAATTTAAATTTACCAGTCCATCCAGTGATCCAATTTGAGCAAACTTTATTGTTATTATTTTATAGGAATCAGTAAACTCTACAAAACAGATTACTAGATAGCTTGCAACTATGAATGCTGTTCTTAAAATTTACGTAATCTTGTGAAGTTTATTTTCTTAGTAGAAATCTCTTACATGTTCACTAATCAGTAAGGCGCTGTATTTAACCAAAACAAATGAAAGCCGTTCAGGTTAAATGCCGAATTTTCTCAACAAACATATATATCTGTCATTCGCGAGTATTTAAGTTAAGTGGAAATATCCGGTTTCCGGCTATTAAATAAATCTAACTTGTTTAAAAATAAAAATTCTCAGATTTCTCACTATATTTCAATTCTATTTTTTTAGTTTGGCAAAATAATTTCAAAAAAAAAAAAAAAAACTTGGAAGTTTTGATATTATTTTGCCGAACTAACTGCCAGTTCTAATATACTACTAGTGACAATACTACAGAATCAAATATAATCAAGAATTTTGAGAATTATTATTTCTAAACGATTTATTTATAAAAAAAAAAATGCAAAATTTACAAATTTCTTTGTGGCGGATGATCAAAGTAATTTGAAAAGCATATAAATTTACATTTATTTGTTTGTGAATCCATATACTGTAGCTAAAAATTCTTACATAAGTTTGTTTAATAAAACACGAAATAAGAATTCGAATTTATTCATTTTTAGAGTTCTTTTTACATATTATTTTTATATGCAAATTTTATTAAAATTTCACTTTTACTTGAAAAAGATATTTATAATCGAATCTAATTTAAGTCATTGATCTCATTATTATTATTACCTTCGATCGGCATTTAACAAGTTGAATTGATATCAACATAATATATATATTTAAATGATTCAATCATATCATTAAAAGATGAAATTTTGAAACCAGACATCACTTTAATCGCTTGGCTTTTTGAGGAAATTATTTGATTTATATTCTTGATTTTTTCCTTGATAATTATTCTCTAGAAATAGCTTTTAAAATGGTTTTACCCCACAAAAGTCCACATATTCTCATACTTTTATTAAATATTCTATTCACAATATTTTCAACAGCACAAAAATATCCTCGACAGACACCAGCACCAACGAAATCGTACGCAACCGGTACGGCTACTACGTCACCACCATTAAAAAGTGAAATACCTGTTGCTTTAAAAAAGACAACCTTTTCGATTCCTATCTCGCCGACAGAAACCCCTTCTCTTCAATCCGCGTCATGTCAAGTAAAAATCACAAATCCCCATACCAACGACACGTTTAGACCTGGTGATAACATAGATGTATCGTGGAAGTTGGCTGGTAAAGAATGCCTGGTTGATGGTATTGTACCACTACATCAGGTTAACGCCATTTTATTCGCAAATTTGACCAGAGGTGAAGAATGGAAATGGGACTACCGACAAGTCAGAATTTATTTTTTTTCTTTTCTTCGCTAGTTATATATTCAAATACATTTTGAATTTATTCATTTGTCTTAGAACCTTCACCATGAAACAAATACCAACATTTCTTCGTTCCGTTACCCCGTACAAATTATACTATCTCAAAATATTCGAAATTTAAGTTTATTTTTCCTGGATATTGAATTAGCATTCCCAACAAATTCTGTGGGTATTATATGGGATGTCATGGGGCCATTTACTATTTTGCCAATTCCAGAAGCTCCTCCACAAAATGGTTCAAATCCAGATAACGACATTCATGGCGAAGATATTTTCGCTAGTTGGAATAAGGATAATGATAATACTGAACAAAATAATTCCAACCAAAAAAGTAACAAGGAAGAAATTGGTAAAACTAGTATGGCCAATATGTTATTCAATGTGACGGGATGGATATGTATCACATTTAGTGTAGTTTTCTCCATTTTATATATAAATCTTTAAAAATTATCGCATACGCAACTTAAAATGTAAAAGACATACAACTACTATAGAAGTTTTATTATTTTACTAGATCATAATGTAATATTTGTAGAAGATTTTTTTATCAATTCTAAATAAAATTATCTTGCCACTTTTTGTAAAGTTCACGCCCATTTAGATATTCATTTCGCTCTGACAAAAGTCTAATGTATCACGCATTTCGAAGTCACTTATGAAGGGTGTAAGATATTTTAAATGTTTTCATTTTAGGTAGATAGATATACGTATCATGTAATAACGCCATGGGCGTTATTTTAAATAATGGCCCGAATTAAGCTTAATTTAGGTCGGAATTCACGGGTAACATGATTTATGTAACATTTTGGTGGTGACTAAGTTTTGAATACCGTATAAACGCGAAATAACGTCAATCTATGCGTTAATTAATTGATCTACGCGTTATTTTGAATATGCCCGTGTGCGTTATTTCGAAATAAGGATTGAATAAGCATCCCTCAATTCTATTAAGAGTACTTTTTTATAATAAGGATTAAAAAGCTACGAAACTAGATTCGGTACTAAGTAAATCTACAGTATTTTTGAGCTTTAAAAACTTTTGTTAAAGCTCGAATATAGGTTTATTTAGTACCAAACCAAACCTAGTTCTGAAGCACTTTTTATTTATTTTATCTTTTTACTTTATTATATTGATTTATGGGGATGCACGTTAATTCGGAACGTCCATGGGCGTTAATTTGAAACCACATAATCTATTTTGAAGGTATCCAATTTTCGAAATAACGTCCATGAGCGTTATTTCGCAAAGGAATAAGAATAGAAATGGTCAAATTAACGTTTCTTCGACGAAAGTTTTGCAGCCTTTATCAAATTTTTGAGAACGCGTCGGAGACTATCACAAAATAAAAAATAAGAAAGCCATAACATTAATAGAGAAACCTCATCGAATTGTTTGATAACTTGGGAATGGTTTGCAGAAGTCAATAATTAACTGGTCTGACAAAGAATTGATCCTCGACACTTTTGTTAAATTCTTTGCTATTCAAAGAAACAGTGAAATAACAATAATAGATTCAATTATTTTATAGAGTGAACACCAAGTATCAGTTACCTGATGTATATATCATACGAATGTTTTACCTTCGTTGACATATTTTACTTGATTTCTTTTACACTGTCTTGCAATAACAGCAAATTACTGCGAGTGATTTATTATTGTGTTATCGGATATATTTGATTGAAGCAAATACAGTCAAGCCTCTCTATAGTCACACCACGGGATACAAAAAAGCGTGATTATAGAGAAGTGTGCTAATTATAGAGGTTAATTTATTATATTTAATACGTATATGAGGTGAATCGATTTTTAGATACTAGTATTTTGTTAGTAAAAGTTTGCCGATCGATTTATGCATAAAATCTATCTATCAATATTATTACTTATTATTGCATCTCACATGATTTTGATTATAGCGCTTTGCAAAAAGATGTGAGCATGTGATTTTAGTGATGATGATGACTGAGAATTATTAAGATTCCAGATTGTCTGTTACTTTATATTTTCGATTGGTTACGTTTATATTTTCTTTGAAATCAGTTTAATTCTTAAAATCTCAAAAAATCTATAAAATCTCCGATTCTCACATGAAAAAATGATCT